GTATGTATATAAGAAATGTACAGAAGCCAACTGATTACTCTGAGTTGGAAGGAACAAACTTTGAAGAGCTGTGGTATCCGTTTATCAGTATTAATGCACTTAACCAGGTGTTCAGAGCTGTTTGCTTGTAAACATTAACCGACAGTGCTCCAGGCATGCTTCTTTCCAGTCTTGATGCTTTTAGTTTCTTCTGAAATGTACACTAAAGGTTAATCTGGTTAAAATCTTTGAACTGTTATTTATGTAACCTTATCTGCTTCATTTAGGATTTCAAGCATACCAAGTCCTTTGTTATTTAGAAGATTTCTGCCTCTGTGAGGGACATCAAATGACTACTTGTTATACAAAAGTATCAAAGGGATCTTTTGACCTCTACTTTGTAAATATTGTTTCCATGTACTACATGCTGAAAATAGAAACTGCCAATGTTTCAATCTAGTCAACCTGTCTGTCTGTGTGTCTTAAAAAAAACTTCACTTAAAGATAGAACTAAATTGAATGTACAAGTCAATTTGTGTGAAGCCTTCTCATTTTGTTCACGTATACATGCAGTAATACAGGATTCACTCTTACAGCTTGGAACAATCTATTCAAGTAACTTTCATAGATGACCTTGCTATCACTACTTGTACTACTTACACTGTCATCAAGGGTTCAAACTCCCCTGCAATTCTGACTTAACAGTACCTTGACATTGTTTGCCAAAGCCATCTATAAGTGCATAAGTAGTCATACAGACTTAAACTCACTATCCTGACAGAATAAAGCTTCCTGTAATTGATGGTCAAGCAGTGTTTTATTGTCTAATATAATATCCCTCCAGCTTCTCTTCCACAAGAAAGTGTGTCTCTCTCTAGACTGCATATGTAATTTAATGCTGAAAAATAAAGCCAGTACAACTCAAGCTGTAGTATCTGGACCTTAACTGTTGAAGTGTCACAAATAAATAGTTCCTCAGAACCTGAAGTGTTTGTGTCAGTAGTTCAGTTACTGAAATTTAAATCTCACAACCTCATTAACAGGTTCCAGTTGCTTCTTTAAGAGTAACGCTTCCATCACTTGTGTGTTTACTGATCAAGTGTAAAATTTGTATATTTGTGCTTATGCTTTTGGCTGTACAGGTCTATTACTATCCTAGAGCTTTGATACACATTTAGGGTTCATGGGGTTTTTTTTTCCCCAGAAGCTTTTGGGATGTAACAAACTCAAAACCACATAGTTCCTTGGTGTATCGTTATTGGTGTCACAACTTCTCAGCACTAAGATGTAGCTTGGCAAAGGAGTTTTGCAGTTGACATTGAGAAATACTGATCAGATGCCTCAGTCACTTAAAAGAGTTGATGATCATTAGCTAACTCTGCTCTCCATACAGTTAAGAACTTATTCACACTTCTGAAGTCAAACTGAAATGGTATGTTTATTAAGTTACAACTGCTGCCATGTTCAGCAACTCCACTGGTGTACACTGCTGTTGGGTGTACAACCTGCAGGTATCACTTTGGAGTCTCCTCAAAGTTGGGCTCTAGAGGAAGAAAGGGAGAGAGAAAAAAGCTCCATTAATCTTCTTTTATACCAGCCTCGAACACCACAATTCATCTGCTATTCAAAGAAAACTAAACATCAAGTTGGCAAGCTAAAGCAAGCTCTTGTATGTTACAGTCGGTATAACTGCTTACTTTGTTTGGACCAGGGTATGACTGGATGTAGGCAGCACTAAAGAATAAACTATACCAAAGACAGGTCTCTTCCACCTTGGAGGAGTTGTGCATGAGGTTTAGACAGACACGCACTTTGGTAACATTCTGCCAAAACAGCTTTTAGCAACACATGGCGTAGGGAAGAAGGCAACAGAGAAACTGAAGAAGTCAACCAGAATGTTACTGGATATGACACTAGTATTTCCAATGTAGCTCTGATGTAAGAACAAGTCCCCAGGCTGCTCTTTCCTCTTGATTAGCATCTTCTAGCTGATGAACAGAACGGATTGCACAATTTCAGCTCTACTCTGCAGAAGATACTCTCCACATACAAACACTAAGGAAGGAGTTCTTGGTGTCAAAGGTACAAACTCAGAGTTAGGGCTTTTGACAGGTGGGCTATTAATGCCCATTCTTGCTACAAAGAGTCTGAGAGGTAAGGCTCAGCTTATAGTAGTCTGCACTAACACAAAAAAAGTAAGTTTCTACCCATCTAGCCACTTAGCTTTGAAAACTTACTGAAATTAGATTAAGTATAGGCAACAGTGGTACAAGAACATGGTCTCCCCCCTGCTTTGTTCTGTTCCTATTGTCACATAAATGAAATTTAATATGTATGGTTTCACATATTACATAGAAATAAAACTGAATATAAAGAAACCACATCACTAAAATGGGGGGGGGATGAACGACGACAAGAAACACCATAAATCCTACTTTACAGATGCTCTGTTTTATTTGCACCAGTAATAACCTGACACCAAATTCCTCCTTAATCCATCTGAAATACCACCCAAACATTTTTAGGTGTGTTCCTAGTCTAAATTAGAATTTCCAGATAGTCTGATCAGAATTACAAGTCACAGACTACAGTGGCTTGACCTTGACTGGCTGCCAGATGGACACCCAGCCTCAAGCTCTCTCGCTGTTTCGCTCCCTCTCTCCACAGAAGGGTTGAGAATAGACACAGTGTTTCTCACCCTTTGTAAAATACATTGTCACAGAGGCACCACCAGCATTGCTGACTGGTTCAGTTGTGTCCTGCAGCGGGTCCATTTTGGAGCTGGACGGAACTGGCTCACTCTGATGTATGGACACACCCAGCCTCTCCTGATAGAGGCCACCCCTGCAGCCCCCCACTACCAAAACCTCACCACATAAACCAAATACACCAACACATTCAAAAGATGCTGAATACCAGCTACCAGCTGCTTACAGATTAAGAAAGACAGCCTGCAAAACCTGACTTTAGTAAACCTGCTCATGAGCAATGAAGACTTAAGAGCTGTACTTTGATAAGCAAGCAAAAGAAACTAAGAAGTATAGAAATGAGCCTGTCTAAGAAAATTAAGTTGCATTTACATCCTAAGGCAGACAGAGTCTGTGCAGTTTCTTTGCATTCCTGACAAACCAGTCCTCACAAGCACTCTTGTCATAATCAATCTGGGTAATATGAAAACATCCTAACACAAACTTAGAGCAGTTAAACAGAAGTTATAGCCAAATAACTGAAGAAAAAGGTTTAATATAATTTAGTCACAAAGTTACCAAAAGTAACAAAGTTAAGTTCCATGTTTATTTTCTGAAATCACTGATTTTCCACATAGGCTTACAAAATTTACAAATTCCAGTTTGATAACTGATAACAAATTCCATTGATAACTGGTTTTCAAATTATAGTCTGCTGACCCCTTTGGAACGATGAGCTAAAAAAAAATAGGACTGGGTTACTCCTTTTATATTTAGGCTATTTCTTTAGGGTCTGTGTAGGGTAATTAAAATAGCCTGATCTGACTGCAAGTTTTATTAAGCATCAAGGTAATTCCACATCTCTGCTGGAAAAGGCAAATAATCAAAAAAGGAGTTAGGTGAATTCAGATGTGAACTGTGTGAAAGCAAGGAGATTCACTGAGGGCATCTTACATGAAATTAATGGTCCAAATGAAAACTAAACGAGAATTAAGAAAACCAATCAATGAACATGTCCTTACTTTCAATTAGAAATTCAGTAAGATTGTTAACTCACCCTCAAATTTAAATTCTGGAAACTTGGTTAGATCTCCTTCACCATATGCCCGTTGAAGTCTAGCAAGGGATTCATTCAGGTCTTTCTGAAATTCAGCACCTGCATCAACAGGTCCTCCAGTTTGCCTAAAAAACATGAAAAGTTCTGATTAACAGTTCAGTGCTGAAATTTCATGTGGAGGTTCTACATTCGCATGGCTATTTATCAATAAAATAATCTTTTTGACAACCAATTAAAGGAAACCATTTAAAATATTTTCAAAGTTGAGATATAACACACCTCAGGGCCTACTTACACATAAACAAGGTTCTCAGGGTGAAGTACAAGCCTTCTACTATCAGTGATGAAAATCCAAGCTACAGAGGTAGCCTTCTGAAACATAAAACTATGCTGACTATCCAGGCTTTCAGGGCTCTTAGTTTCACTTGTTCTAGGTGCGATTTTCTAACAAAATTAGGATTTATACCTCTGCTATTTCTGAATTAGTGACCTTGGTTAGTAAAGCTTAACTGTTCTTGCAAAAAGATGTTTTGAATACTAAACAAGAAAAAAAAAAAAAACAGACAAGGCACCTTACTTTCATGTAGATTCAGACAGGAATTTCTTGGGATACAAATAGAAAATAATTAAACCAGTTAACTTTTCAGATTACCAGTGTTCAGTTATACCAACACAGGTATCACTTATGATTGGTGAAGTCAACAAAAATATGCCTCCCTACACAGGCTAGCTTGTAGGTGTGGAAACACACATCTTCCTCCACTAGAACTACAAAGTTCTTGCTTCCTTCCCAAAAATAATTCCCAAGAATAAATTATGCAGAATTACTATAGTTTTAGTTTCTTATTAAGTAGTTAATTCAAACATTACAAGAATCTAAGATTCCATTTGAATTTCAATCAGCCTCACAGTTCCATTAATTCTCAATTGCTTTTGGAGACTATTTCCATTCAGCTTCTGGAAACAAGACTGAAGAATAACCATTTTCCTCAGGAAAAAAAAAATAAAAGGTGGTGTGTTTTTTTTTTTTTATTTACAGAGCACACAGATGGATAAAAATTTACATACCGGTATGTTCACAGTGTGCAAAAAAACTTAACTGAGTGCCTAACTCCCCAAGAAGAATAACATCAGCATTATTTTTTTTAAGGGGCAAAAATAGACATTTTCTATCAGCTACGCAAGATTAAACTTTCTCACTTGTGATGCTACCAGTGTTGCAGGAAAGCATACCTTAAATGCTTAGAGACCAACCTACAAAGCTAGCATATTTTAGCATTTGTCAAAATCAGTATTTTTCCCTCTTTTGCCATCAGCGTTAAGATAATTGCCTTTACTTACTTGCTCTTTGTGTTGTATTCTCTGATCTTGTCCAAGAAGAGCCTCTGAACTGGATCGAGCTCTTTTGCCTTATTAAAGGCAATAGCAGAAAGCCCTATGTTTCTGCGCAAGTGAACGGAAACAGCAGAGCGGAAAATGGAAGAAAGTCGCAGAATTTGATGCAAAATCATGATGACACTAACGTTTTAGCTAAAAAAAAAAAAAAAGCCAAATCAGAAACGCAGAATTAGGTAGCTCTTTCAGCAATATAAATGCGTAGAGAAGCAAAAAATTTAGTTCAGGGATGAACATTAAACCAGAAAAAACACTTAAAACGAGCATGCAATCCGGGGAGAGAACTCGGGCTCCACGCACGCTACTGCTGACGACCGGTTCAATCGCGCAGCGCGACCGAGACAAAGAGGGAAATTTAGGTTTTGCGTTGTTTACAAAAAGAAGTAACAATTTTAACCCAGCCAAAGCCAGCAGCAGCACCGGCCGCCGGCCCTACTGCTCCCCCCGTCTCTCAGTCTCCACCTCACCCGCCCCGGGAAGCCCCCGCAGGCGGCGGGGCCAGGAGGCGCCGTGAGTCCCGCATGCTCCAAACATACACCGGCGGAGGAGGAGCCGCCCCCCGGCGCCCACCGG